GGCGTTTCCAACCTACACTCACACGAGCGCATGCGCAATTCATATCCATTGCTGCTCTCTTTGATTTGTTGTGCTCTCTATGTGATAGGCAATTCCTTGCCTTCTACGTCTACATCAAATTCTAATTTCACTTTTAATCCATTGCCTATTTATAACCGTCATCCAGCTGTATGCTTTACCAACATGCTTCCATGTTTGTTGTTTGTGCTTTAGCGCTTATCGCGATGTCATCAAGTCGCCATAATATAAGTTGCGTGCCGATGAGGTAATATTTGTACTGATATGTAATTGCTTCCGCCAGTTAATATAGAATTCCATTAGCTGATATAATATAGAATGACTAGAGTATCACTATTCGTTGACTTTACAACTATCTTATAGAGGTCAATGAATCGACAAAGTGAAAGTAAATGCAGTAAATTTGTCCAATAAAACAAATACTCGGATTTTTTTTATAGAATGGAATAGGAAAATATTTATCTCTTTTTGACACGACTACAACTGAGAGTCAAAACAATTTAACTAAATTTTTATTACCATCAACAAAGTGTGGTTGCATTGAATGGTATGGATTTTTGAGTGAACAACTTTTTATCAGCTACTACATACTTGAATAATTAAGTGCTTATCGAGTGAATGCGATAAGACAACAATTTTGAGTAGATATGTATGTAAACACATACATATCTGTACACACATATACCCTGTTAAAAAATATTTAAAACCACAAGGTTGAGCATTCAAAAAAGTTGTTTATTGCTTTTTAGCTCTATAATAAATATTTGTACTCGGGGCATATTCATAGTCGAAATTAAGTTTGATATAAAGTTATTTGTAGCTTGTGTCGCATTTGTTTTATCTATGACTACGCCCCGTTGTTTGAATTTTTAATGTGTAATTTTTTATATATTCAAACGCTATTCGCTTTGTCAAACATACATAAATACATATTTGATGTATGGCTAAAAAGTGTTCATATTTATATTAATTTCATAAAATGTTACTCGCATTAACATTAATTTTCTATTTATTTTATCTATGGGTAATAAGCACATTAATTAACAAACTCAAAACTTAATCGCATTTAAGTTTAAGTCTTTAAAGTTTTGAACAAAAACTGGCAAGTTAAAAAAAAACTTAAAATATTCGTACATAATTCACTAGGCGTAAAAATTAAAAAATAGATACTAATCTTAATTATTATAGTAGCAAAAATTTATGTGATTTTACGCACATATATGACTTCTTTAGCGGCTACCTCACATTCCTGTACAATGGTTTATGGTTTAATTTATATGCGCTGCCATGTCCGCATAAATAACAATACGCATAGTTGCTGTCTCCTCATCATTAGTCGTAGTTCCATTGGCCTGCTCCACATTCGCATATTCTTTGTCGAAATTAAGTCGATTATAAAGTTAGTTACCCAATTGTTTAAATTTTTAAATGTCATTTTTTAAACGTTCAAACACCTTAATAATACTATTAGCTTTGTCAAACATAAATACAAATGTATCTTCTATTAGATGTGTGGTTAAATAATTAAATTTACTTTCTAAAATTGTTACACGAAGTAACATTGATTTTCTATTTATTTAATATATAGGCAATTATCACTTTAATTAGCAAACTCAAAACTCAAATACATTTAATTTTTAGTCTTTTTAAAGTTTTGAACAAAAACTGGCAAATTAAAAAAAAAACTTAAAACTTTCATACATAATTCAATATCTAAAAAATAAATATTACTCTTGTGCATATTAATTATTATAGCAGCAGCAATTTATGTGGTTGTACGTATATGACTTCTTTACCACTTTCCTGTACTATGGTATATGGTTTAATATTCACGTCGAAAAAGGCCTCTATTCTGCTGCCTACTTTTACATGCGCTGCCATGTCCCCATCAATAACAATTCGCATAGTTGTTGTCTCATCATCATTAGTAGTAGTTCCATCGGCTTGCTCCAACTGCACGGTAGCCATGTGAACTGTGCACACCTGTATGATTTGCAAAACCCGCAACCGGGTGCCACTTTGAAGCCCCAACTGCTGATCGTGTTGCAGGAAATTACGTTCAATACGATTCGCTTCCTCTAATTTTTGTAAACGTTCCACATAGCCACCTGGTATAGCACGTTTTAATTTCTTTTTCTGTTTATTAGCCAGTGAGAGAGTTTTGGCTGCTGCATTTTCACGTTCGATCAGCGCTACCAGTAATTCCAGTTCTGTGGGCGCGGTACTCTTCTGGGTGGTTACTGTACCGCAGTTTGTTGTCCGCTTCGGCGAACCAGATTCAGATGAAGAGGAAGACCACTCAATGGATGTGCCCTCCGATTTTTGAGGTGATAAGCGTTTTATTGCGATTGTGTTTTCATTATTCTCCCCACAGACATCGACTGTGGGATAGCTATTATGTCGTCGTAGCGTGGCAAATGTTTTACGAACTTTACACCAAGGTGAACGGTTGGAATTGTTTGTATAGTTTGAAGGTACATTTTTAGTACCTAATGTAGTTCGAGCCTCTGGATGATATTCAATTACTTTACTTAATTTACGCTTCACACTCAATTTTGGCAATTTGGACTTTCTGGCGAAGCTGCTGCACTTTCGAGTAACTGGAGTTGCTACACTTTGTACAATACAACTTCTATTGTGAAAACTTTGGCAATTTTCTGTTCCCAACTCATCATCA